CCCCCCCCTGCCCCGCACAGCGGCCCGGAGCCGAGCCTCCAGCCCGCCGCCCAAGGGAGCGCCACCACTTCCCGCCTTCCGGCGGCGCCCGGGAAGGCGGGGCGGGCCGTGGTGCTTCTGAGAGGCGGTGGGAGGGTGCCGCTTCTGGGGGGAGCGGGCCGGGGCGGCCCTCCGCCTCCTGCCCCTCCAGCGCGCCGGGGAGCCCTCCGTTCTCCAGCCGGGGCGGGCCGCGCTGCGGAGGTCCGGCGGGAGGGCTCTCCCGTGGGAATGGCGGGGTCCCGGAAAGCCCGAGAGTCGGCGCCTGGGAGGGAGCGGGGCTGCTAGCGGTTCCGAGCAGCCCCGGGTGCGTGTGAGCCGCCGGGGGAGCGGCGCAGCCGAGGCCGTTGCCCGTCCCCTCAGGGCTGCGGCGCTCTGGGCGGCTGTGGGAATGCCCTGCGGGCCGGCGGCATCTCCTCCACTGGCAGCTGGGCCTTCGCGGACCCTGCGGCGGTCGTGCCTTCTCTCTTGTACTGCGGCCTCTTTGACGGCTGCGTGCAATTAACAGTCTGCAGAGTGTTTGAAGGGTAAATAATCTGTTCCTTTCCCTCAATATGACTTCCTTAGCAAAGATCCCACTTGCACAGGCTCTTATCTGTTCATTTTTAGAATAGTTGGAAATCCTGCAGAAAAAAATTATACCGTTTCTCACAACATATGAGACCAACCTTCTTCCGTGGAAGTGAGAAAAGCAAACCTTTGGTGACACTCACGCCCTTGATTATGCAAGCTGACAGTGGTGAAAGAGAGAGTCAGATTTATAAAGGTGAGAAGTGCGGATGTTTGTTTGTCAGCGTGCAGCGTCACAGAGCAGGGGCAGGTGTTAGCTTTGTTTCACTGGAGTGGCAGTCCAGCTGACCAGAGTGTGCCCCTGTTAAGTCGATGACTGAACTAACAGTTAGAACTTCCTTCTTCATTCTTGAATACCATCTATCACTCTTGTCTTACAGCCTCATTCCAGAAGAAAATAATTATCAGGAGTGGGGTTTTTTTCAGTTTCTTTCCACTCTTGTGTTTGTTCTACATTTTCATATCCATTTGTTTCTGATATCCCTTCTTTTCCTCTTACCTAATCTGTGAGTATGAGCAATTTAAGAGTCAGTAAGTAGGTTCAGGGCCTGCTAAAGAAGAGGATGATCTTGGAGTCGTTCAGGAGAGATTTAAGTTCTTTTTTTTTAAATGGCACACATCTGCTTCAGCATGGATGAAAGTAAAACCTTGCATATTCACTGGGAAAGGTACATTCTCTTTCTCAGTTACACAAAGGATTAAGCAAATATATTGATCAGATGAGACATGCAAGCAAAATATTTCTGAGATAAATTTTAGAAGAACTTATATAAGTGTCTCAAGTATTCTTGATAAGTTAATACTTGTTAATACAGAGAAAGAAGTACTTGATGTTTTGTTTTGTATAGTGTCTTCCATCCAACTATATTCTAAAATATCTCTAAATATTTTAAGAATATCTTTTGGTTTTTTAGAGTACATCTGGGATATGTTAAGGGAATTGGGAGTCTTTTCTTGGCAGCTAACTAAACACAGAAAACTCAGCTGGTTTTCTGTTCTTTAAAGATCTAGAAAGTAGTGTTTCAGGTAAAATTCTAGAAGACTGGAGCAATACAGTATACTGCAATTAGTTCAGGAGGATAAAATGGTGTATGCGTCAGAGATCCAAACAGAGCAGCATGAAGCCTTATCCTGTCTACTTCATACATTTGGCAGTAATCTTGGAACTTATCATGCCAATAAAATAGTTGAACCACACTGAAAGAGACTAGAAAACCAAGAGCAGTAGCCTTGAAACAGATCTCTCTTGCCCACTCACCCACACACATAAGCAGGTCTGAAATTCTGCCACTTAGAGGTACTAGCATAGAAGCAATACATGAGTTAAGAGAACAGACGCTGTACTGCATAACTTTATGTTATATTAAATTGTCTGAACTTACTAGTAGGTAAAATAGAGCATTATGCAGCTACTTTTGCATATATCATACTTTCTATCAACTCTTCTGTCATTTGACTGATTGTGTCCCTTTGTTTTATAGAATGCTTCATAGTTGTTTCATAATTGTCACAGAACATGCAAAACTCCAGAGTACTTGACAGCAGTCCATAGTCAAGGAACAGGATTTCCCAGATCACCATATGGTTATTTCTTAATTACCATACCGTCAAAAAGGAAAACTCCACTTAGTTTGTATAATCACTCTGTACTGAATGGCTCCTCTACACTGCAATAACTCTCTCAGTTCAGCTACTCGTTTCCCTCAGTTGAAGAAGAAGTCATCAAACTGTATGTGCATATGCACACATACAAACTTGCACATGCATAAATATATATTTTAAACATACATTGGCTAAGTGGCAGGAAGTCTAGGGATATCAAACTTCAAAATATTTGATTTAAAAAGAAGACAGCGAATGACCAGTTTTCTTCATCTCTTCCCTTTGTGGCCCTTGCACTTACACTGTTAAACTCTCATCCCTCTTGGTGCCAAAGAAGTTTGACCCATACATGTGAACATGTGTGTAACCATGTAGCTATTCTGGGAAGCTCCCCCAGCAGTACAAACTGCATGAAAAGTCTTCATTAAAGCCCATGCTGGTTGCAAGGCCTACTGTCAAGATCACTGTGGTCTCACTGAGATAGCTTCTATCTCAGAAAATACAATCTCTGCCAGAGATGTCTCTCAGCAAGCTAGTTAAACAGGTATACATTGCAGTTTGTATAATGTTCTCTTAATGTGGACCTATTTATCATTGTATCAAGTCTGCAAAGGTGTTGTCACTCCCAATTTTTCTACAGAATGCACAATAGTGTGCACGATTTGTAGTAGCACAAAGGACTCTTACAAATGCATGTTAGCCATCTTCAACAGCATAAGCTATCAGCAAACTTAGCAAAAGAGGTTTTTGCAGGTTAAAATGCACATACATGGGAAGGTGGGCCAGTATAACCGTTAGTTGAGGACATAACCCCATCACGTGTCGCAGTTCTGGAGTATGGTCATAACCTAAGGTAGGCAGTAGGTGGTTTGTCTATGGTTATATAGTAGATTATTCTCACCTCACTTTTTAGACAGCTACATCTGCAGGGTAGGCATGTACCTTTGCTATGACCATCCTAGGCTCCTTGTATAGCTAGGACAGAGAAGTGAGTACTAAAAAGGGCAAGGGTCAGCTCATCTTCAGTGGATGCCTAAAAAACGTTGAACAAACTACCATAGAAGTACCAGTTTTCTCATACCAGTGGTAAAGCAAACGAGGTCTGAAGCAGGCATCTCTTATCATACGTACCTTCATTTAAGATGAATCTTGCATCAAATGGCTTGGTAGTTTATCGCGCTCCTCTCCTTTTCTCACCATCCTTCAGCAACATCACCTGTTTCTCTCTGCAGTTTCCTGCTTGTTGCAGTCTAGACCCATGGTAAGGAAAGTACTTGTCAGCATTATCTGTATTTGTTCAAACACAAAAAGACTTAATTTCATCCATTAGATGAGCCCTCAGTTCACTTCCAGGCAGTGACAGACATTCCAACAGCCAGGCTTTAATGGTGTACCAGCTTTCTAAAAGGGAATTTTTAATTTGGAGGTGCAAGTACTTGAAGACTTTGCAAAGGAAACACACACGTGTTTCAGTTACTCTCTGTCAGTGGTTATGGTAATGCTTGAAAATAATAGACCAGTGGTCCTGACAAGCTTTTTATGCATAGCTGTGCAAAGGCAGAACAGAACTCTTCAAAATATTTAGTTTTCTGGAAAAAGGAACATCACAGACTGCTTTTTTTCTATAAGCATTATTCTCATGGCTTTTTCAGACTTTTCTCCTGATTAAAAGTTTTTGTCTATCCAATCCAAGAACAGAAACAAACCTCTATGGATTACACAATCAAAAAGGCAACACTCAGCACAGCTAAGGCTTTAAATTTCGGGATGTGAAGTATTACAAACAAGCAAAGTTTCGCTACTTACCCCATACACACTCCCATTTCCATTCTTAGCCCTATTGCACCTAGAAGAAGAAAGTGGGCCTGTTTCCTGGCCTGGGTTGCAACAGTCAGTCTGTTTCTAGAGGGACCTGGACAGGCTGGAGAAACGGACCATCAGGAATCTCGTGAAGTTCAACAAAGAGAAATGCAAAGTCCTCCACCTGGTGAGGAATACTCACATGTAGCAGGAGAGTCTGGGGTGCAACCAGATGGAAAGCAGCTCTGCAGAAAAGGACCTTGGGGTCCTGGTGGACAACACATTGGACATGAAGCAGCAATTGCACCCTTGTGGCAAAGGTGTCCAACAGCATCCTGGGCAGTATTAGGAAGAGTGTCACTAGCAGGTCGAGGGAGGTGGTCTTTTCTCTCTACCATGTAAATAATTTACATTCTTTCTTCCTAGATTAAATAGAATAGTGCTCTTGCAATCTGTGGCTTGCACATCCTTATGCTTTAGTTGGATCACTAGCAGACTCCTTAAAACTCAGAGGGAAAGAGTTCTTACGAATAACAACTGGCAAAATGTAGTTCTTAACATTAATTACAGGATTAACCTACTTACTTTTGGATGGAAAGCTCCCAACAACTTTCCAACATCAATACTTAGCAGCAACATTAAAAATTACCATGGATCAGAGCACACTTCCACTAAAATCTGTGGAATTTTTGCTATTGACTTCAAGCCAGCAGTGAACCATAGTTGCATGTTTTACAAAACTGAAATACTCCATCATAGAATCATCATAGAAGCATTTAGGTTGGAAAAGAGCCTTAACATCGAGTCCAACTGTAAACCTAACACTACCATGTCTACCACTAAACCATGTCCCTAAGTGCCACATCTACATGTTTTTTAAACACCTCCAGGGATGGGGACTCAACCATTTCCCTGGGCAGCCTGTTCCAATGCCTGACAACCCTTTTGGTGAAGAAATTTTTCCTAATATCCAATCCAGACCTCCCCTGACACAACTTGAGGCCATTTCCTCTCGTCCTATCACTTGTTATTTGGGAAAAGAGACCGACCCCCACCTCGCTACAACCTCCTTTCAGGTAGTTGTAGAGGGCAATAATGTCTCCCCTGAGCCTCCTTTTCTCCAGACTTAACAACCCCAGTTCCCTCAGCCGCTCATCATAAGACTTGTTCTCTAGACCCTTCACCAGCTTCGTTGCTGTTTGTTGGACATGCTCCAGCACCAAAATGTCCTTCCTGTAGTGAGGGGCCCAAAACTGAACACAGTATTCGAGGTGTGGCCTCACCAGTGTCAAGTACAGGGGGACAATCGCTGCCCTAGTCCTGCTGGCCACACGATTTCTGATACAAGCCAGGATGCTGTTGATCTTCCTGGGCACACTGCTGGCTCATGTTCAGCCAGCTGACAACCAACACCCCCAGGTCCTTTTCTGCCGGGCAGCTTTCCAACCTCTCTTCCCCAAGCCTGTAGCGCTGCATGGGGTTGTTGTGACCCAAGTGCAGGACCCGTCACTTGGCCTTGTTGAACCTCATACAGCTGGCCTTGGCCCATTGATCCAGCCTGTCCAGATCCCTCTGTAGAGCATTCCTACCCTCCAGCATATCAACCCTCCCTCCCAACTCGGTGTTGCCTGCAAACTTACTGAGGGTGCACTCGATCCCCTCATCTAGACCATTGATAAAGATATTAAACAGAACTGGCCCCAGTACTGAGTCCTGGGGAACACCACTTGTGACCGGCCGCCAACTGGATTTAACTCCATTCACCACCACTCTTCGGGCCCAGCCGTCCAGCCAGTTTTTTAGCCAGCGAAGAGTATGCCTGTCCAAACCATGAGCAGCCAGTTTCTCCAGGAGAATGCTTTGGGAAATGGTATCAAAGCCTTTACTAAAGTCCAGGTAAACAACATCCACAGCCTTTCCCTCATCCACTAAGTGGGTCATCTTGTCATAGAAGGAGATTAGGTTAGTCAAGCAGGACCTTTACAGGCAGGATCATCACAGCTATGTGATCTGTTTCAGCCTTGAAACAAGGCAAATGCCTCAAACCTCTGGGCAAGCTTGCTCTCGTATTTGAAGGTGTCATAATGGCTATAGTGGAGCTGACCAAAAGGAAGGTGTGCTCAAGCTTCAGGTAAGTTTCTTAGTGGAAACTGCTGACAAAGACACATTCACAATTATGTGCTGGACTAAGAACTGGAGCAGCTTCAGTGCCAGGACACAGCCCTTGCCATTCCCTGCTGGAGCAGCGGTGATCACAAAAGATCTAGAGAAACTCTGTGAAGTGGCTGTGGGTTGAAACACCACAACAAGATTCCCCAGAGCTTATCTGCCATACCCTACAGTCTAGGACATGACATTGGTAGAGAGTCTATTGGTCACTATAAAACCCCTAAAACTCTTTCTATATGTGAGTTACATGGCTTACGGAGGTAACTGAAGGATCTTGCTGACTGCCTACCTAGATCCCTCAAGCACTCTATGTTTGTTTTGTTATTCTTTTCTGAACTATTCTGTTCAGTTTTGCCACAGGAAACTGAGAAGTTTTTCCGTTGCAACCCAGAGTTGAAACTATTCCTATATATTTTCTTATTTACCTTTTGTTAGGATCCTGACATGGAGCATGCTATAGACTATAAGGCATTATTGTACAACTATTTTTTTTTCTTGTTCCAAGATAGAGATCAAAAGGATATAAAACAAAGAAATAAACCAGGGACAAAGACTGAATAGCTCAAGAGCAGCTGGAGACAAATCTCAAGTGTTTGGGATCTCCAGAATTTGTTTTCAAACTGATTATCTTCATTCTTCATTCCATGTAACAATGTCAATCTAATGGTACAACAAAGTCAGGTTTTCTAGAAGAGGTCTCTCATTCAGATACCTTCGTTCCCCTGTTGGTTTTGCTATGAGAGAAACTAATCACAGCTTGCTGCAACCTAGTAGCTTAGCATTCTTTTAGACAGTAGAATATTCTCTCTTGCTACTCCTCCTCTCCTCTTGCCTACACAAAGGAAGAGTAGAGGACACATCACTCATCTCACTAGATAGAGAAAGATAATTGTCTCTTTCCTTTGTCCCCAGGGGAATCTGTGTCAGGCCTCTCTCTGGCCACCAGACTCCGTGATCTCCATTTCTCTCTGTCTTTTCAGCAACCTTCTAATTTTCTGGGGGTCTGATTTCTTATGGTAGTCGTGAGGTTCCTGCAATGAATATGAAGATCAGGCCCATGTTTCTGAACTGACCCTTCTCCAAAGGGTACCCTTTGGAAGAAGGAAGCTCATTTCCTTGTTCCTAGTGTTATAGGGGGCTGGAAGGGAGGGAGCACGTGACTGAACATCAGTAATCCTGTTTTCCATTCCTGTAATTCCCCATACCTTGAATGTAGAGACTGAAGTAAGGGAAGGGTGGATATCTGGAGTCGATGTCTTAAAATGCTTTCTACATTCTTATGAAAATCAAAACTGTTGGAAAAAAAATTTGAAATGCTCGGAAAACACCATCCCACCCCCAAATGTCATAGGGCTCACCAGTCCTGATAATAAGGTGTTTTT